CTGGGTCTGGCTCTTGGCCCCCACCCACCTGTGGCCTTGCACTTGTCCTGAGCACCGGTCAGGTGGGCTGGTCAGGGCAGCAGCGGCCCCAGAGCTCCCAGCTGGGCCAACAGGTTCACATCCTCCCACGCTGTGAGCTCTGGCTCCCCCCTCCATTAGGCTGCTCCCTGATGGTGTGGAGTCCCAGGCTGAGAACATGAGAACCACTCCACTGAGCCACTGAAGGCAGACACAGGCGCAACCCTCGGGACCTCCCTGCCTCCTCTGAGGCCAGGTGGCCGGAGCCCTTCTCCCACTCCTGCTGCCTGGGTGTTGGTTTTCTCTCTGCCTCCAGGCACCTGGGAGGGCCGGCTAGCAAGACTCCCTCCTGTCCCCCTGCCCTGAGGTTCCCAGGACCCCTTCCAGCCTGGTCCATCTTGATCTTCTACCTCTTGCTGCCCCTAGAAGTCTGATGCCAGGCCCACGTTGGGGACTCCACAACCTTCCTCCAGGCATCCTGCAGCACACTTATGTTTGGCTGACCTGTTTCTGAGGACCCATAAGGCCCAAGCATGGGTTATGGGGCAGAGAGAGGTCCCAGGCAGTGTGCAGCCTGAGGCTGGCAGAGAACCTGAGCCAATCACTCAGGAGCTAATGGGCTCTCTGAACCCTGTCCCCCATTGGAGCCCCCTTGGAGCCCCCTTGGAGCCACCCCTGCAAAGACTCTTTATTTGATTTCTGATTGCCTGATGCCTTCCCAGTTCCCCCAGGCCCGTGTGGGCAGTGGCTTGGGCGGCCCCAGGCTGGGGATCAGTGCAAGCAGGATGGATGTCCTCATTCAGCACCGCACACCTGTGGACATTTGTTGCACTTGGGAGCTGTGGGTGCTGCAGGAATCAGCGAGGGCGAGTGTGGCTGTGGCAACATGCAGGGTTGATCATGTCGGGTCCAGAGACAGGAAGGCCTTGAGTGGAGGATCAGAGATGTCTTCCTGGAAGAAGAGGTCAGTGTGTTTGTTCTTCAGGAGTGGTTTGGATTGGGGGTGTGTGCAGACAGAGAAGGCTGGCCAGGTGCTCTCAGCAGAAGGTGCAGAGACGCTGATGAGAAGAAGGAATGTTCCAGAACCCTGAGTTAATCATTTTGGCCAGAACAAAGGGAATGCAGAGGAGGTCGTGGTCTGGAGATGGGATTTTGAGTGCATTCTAGAGGCAAAGTGCAGCTTGCAAAGGTGACGGGGTGACCTTCACACTACAGCCGCCAAGGTGTCCCCTGCATCGGCCACAGCATCATCAAGCCCCTGCAGTTGTGCCGGGCAGCAGCCTTCCTGCCACGTGGGGTGGCCAGGGCTCCCAGGAGCAGCCAGTTCCAGGCTGCAAGATGGAATGAGACCAGTGGGAGGCAGTGAGAAGCTTCACGGCCAGCTTCTGCCTGGCCCTGGGTCATCGCCCAATCAAGGGAGCTTTTTCACACTCTGTAACTTTCACTGACACAAGCGGCATCATCACCCCCACAATGGCAACCACTCCCCCTCAGTGGCAATCACAACACCCCAACAGTTCCTACCTGAGCCCTGTGATTACAAACCCGGAGCCCCGGAACCACCAGCCATGTCATCCCTATCTGCTCCAGACACAATGCCATTGTGACCAATAATAGCGTCCACCAAATCAAGGGCCACCATTGGCAGAGCAAGGGCAGGAGGTGAGCTGAACAGGGCTTGGTAGCCAGGCTGTGTCTTTCCTGTGGCCACACCCCCTCGCCCATGCAGCTGTGAGTATGTGAGTCTAGTTTTGGTTTGGCTTTTGCTTACATGTTCTACGTGAGTTGTGATCAAGGCAGGAAGCAGCTGGAGAATCCTAGACCAGCCTGGTGTTGGTGTCACAAGCATTGTCTTTGAGACTGAAGCCAGGGCCACAGCAGTTCACTGCAGGGCTTGCTCTCGGGGCGCCCCCTTTGGGGGTTTCTGGGAGCTCATGGAACTTCAGGCAAGAACCCAAGATTCTTCGGGATGCCTTTCAACACTTCTCCGGCCTTCCCTAACACCCTGGCGGCTTGGTGTCGGTGGGACAGTGGTCCTTGCTAGGCTGCGGCTCAGCAAGAACCCCAGGCTGCAGACTCCTGCGTGCATGCCCTTGAACTCGTGGTGGTAACTTTTGTCCCAGCCCTGTGGTTCGTGATGATTTTTCCTAGAGGTCACATCCAGCTCCACCTTCAGCCCCTGGAACCCAGGTCCATTTGGAGCTCTGGCTGGGGAGAGCTGCAGGTAAGCTGGGTGACAGCAGAGGGATGGAGCAAGAGGGGCAGGCAAGGCCAGTGTCCTGTTTGTCCTACAAAACACTGGCACCAGCACACTTCCAGCATCACCCCTGTCCTGTGCCATGTCCTCAGTTCCTCCCCACTACCCCACCCCACCCCCAGCCCAGAGTGAGATAGAGCCAGGGAGAGCTGGGGCAAGGAGACCCCATGTCCTGTGTAGCCTGGGTCTTCCTGGATCTGACGACGCCACGAGCCAGCTCTGCAGCACGGCTTTGAGAGCTGCATTGACTTTTCACAGAAGGGCCAGTGACAGCTGCAGGTCTGCGGGCCAGGCTGCCGGAGGCTCCCCCTCCGACCCTTAGGCTGCAAAAGGCCTTGGTAGGATGTGGCCACTGCCCATGCCCATTGTTGAAGCCTCCCACAAACTCCAGGGGGACAGTGGTGCTGTCTCCCACAGGGATGTCAACCCACACCCTTGCCATTTCTCCAGCTCTGTCTTTCCCCGCCCTCTTGATCTGTTTCCTGCCTTCTCCTTCCATACACTGGCTGGCATAGAAAAGGGAGGCTGGACATGCTTTGGCAAACAGCTCCTGGCCAGCATGCATTCCCCTGGCTGTAGGACAGACCTTGGGAGCAGCCTTGCTGCTCCAGTGTGGTCCCTGGGCCAGCAGCACCTGAGCGCTTGTTGGAAAATGCAGACTCTCAGCCCCATCCCAGACCTCCTCACCCAGAAGCTGCATTGGCAAGAGATCCCTGGGTGATCTGCAGGCACCTGGAAGTTTGGGCCATGTCGTGCTGAGGGCTCCAACCCTTCCGCACCACCTGACAGCTGTGTGGTATTTTGCCAGAGCAACCTCCCTGGACCCCAGAGTTCTTGTGCATGACGCGAGGCCCCTGGGATTACCGTGGTGGTCTGGGCAGACGGAAGGGACCAGATCCAGGAGGGGGGTGACGCTTATTCTCGGGTCAGTACTCAGCACAGGGAAGTATTGTTGCTCTAGTGACTGCACATCAGGATCACAGCTTCCGGTGGCGGGAGGAGGGGTGGCGGGGAGCAGCTCCTTGGCTGATCACAAGAAGGGATTTCTTTCTTTCAAGGCTTTAAATCAAAACGACCCTCAGTCAGTTCCTGCTGCCCCTAGGGAGAAGATCTGGGACATAGAAATATCACTGAGCAATTGAATTCTCTCAGTTTCTGTTCCCTCATCTGTTAAGTGGAGTCCTTACTCCTCACATCGGAGGGCTGGTGTGAGAAATTCACAGGACAGTGTCAGGCTTAGCGAGGTCAGTAAATGGATGACATAAGAGACCCCCAGGAGAAGGCAGCTCCTACCTCGGGGAGGTCCATTTCTCCCCTTGCTATTGTTGCAAATGATACAAATCCAAGGACAGAGAATGTACACTTCCTTTTAAAAATGTATTCATTTATTTATTTGAAAGACAGTAAGATAGAGCTCCTGTGTGCTGGTCCCCTCCCCAGATGCCCACAAAGGCTGGGGCTGGCCTGGGGTGAGAGCTGGGTGTCTCCCTTATGGGTGGCAGGAACCCAGTAACTTGAGCCATCACCACTGCTTCTCACAGTCTGCACTAGCAGGAAGCTGGAGTCAGGAGTAGGAGCTGGGACTCAAAGCCAGGGACTCCAGTGTGGGACAGCGAGGCTCAGCACCTGCTCCCAGTATCTGCATTTCTTTCCTGTCCTGTAATTTAATTTTTGTTCTCTGCCCCCCACTTCACAGGTAGCAAATCTAACCCCATCAGCCCAGGCTCTGGCTGCTCTTGTCTTCCTGGAGTGGTTCAGGGGACTCTACGTGCACAGAGTGCCAAGGCATTGGGGGTGTGGGTGTGTGGGCGTCTGGTTCTCAGTCACGGTCTATCGGTACCACATCCGAACATGCTGGTCTACACTGGCAGAGCACTCACCTCTCTTGTGCTCAATGATAAGGCCTTTCAGGTCTGCAAGGGTTCTTTGCCATGTCCATGTTGCCCTTGAATGTGTGGGAAACCCCGCACAGTGCCCAGGCCACATGGCGGCGTGGGATCCTTGGGCTATGTGAAGACTGGCCCCTCACCAGGGGGCATGGAGAATGCTTGGGTCCTGCTGCTTCCCCATGGTTTATCCCAGAACAACACAGGTGCCTCTCTCTTGAATCCCATGCCCCTCACTGTCCCCTTCCAGCTCTGATAACCTTGATCTGCCTGGTGTGGCAGCCCTCATCCATCTTGCACATATAGTGTCAGTGCCCTGAGTCTTTCTGAGCCTCAAGTTCAGGTTCTCAGAGCTCCAGAGCCTAAGCCCCAGACACTCAAATGCTCGCCTCCGCTCTGTTTGCTATTTCATCCCTCCCCAGAGGCAATGGATGCCCCTGGCTGAGCTGAGGGGGATGAAAGGAAGAGGAAAACAGAACCAGGAGGCACCTGGCTGATGATCCAACCTACTTTCTCCGTTGCGCTGTGTTTTGCTGGAAAAGAAGCATGAGCAAGCTCAGAAACTCCAGGAGAGGAAAACACCTCCTGGAAGGAGAATGCTCTTCTGTGGTCTGAGCTTGCCCTCCTGGGCTGCTGGATGAGCTCCGGACTGGACCCTGGAGGACACCCCCTCTCCGGAGGCTCCTGCACTATGCAGCACCCACGGCACTTCCTGCCCAGCCTGCCTCTGCTAAGTTCAGCCGCCTCCATGCAGAGGGGGTTCCTCGCAGGGTTTTGGGACCCCATGGGGGTCTCAAGGGCCCGCTTGACCTGTTGTCTTTTTCGGTCCGCCTCATCAGCACCCCCATTGAGCATGCTCCAGTGTGCACCAGCCAGGCCGCCACCCCGCTGCTGCCCGCTTCTGCCCAGCCGCCTGCTGCCGCCTCTCCCAGCACAGCCTCGCCGCCCCTGGCTGCAGCCGCGGCCCATGCAGCCCCTGCCTCAAGCCCTGCGGACAGTCCAAGGTAACTGGCCCACAGGTGCCAGCCATGACTGCGAGGACGGGGGACAGGAGAGGCCCTGTCCTGGGATCTTGCCCTGCCTACCAGGGGCATACACTGCAGTGAGAGAGGTAAAAGCCCCCCCCCCCCCATACACACAAACACACACACACACATACACACACATGCACACACACACACACTGAGTTAGATTTAAAAAGGGGAATGTATGCAAAGTTCCTGTTGCTGGATCTGATGAAAGAAAATCAAAGTCATCCCTGGGGGAATCATGGGTGGCTCCGTGGAAGAGGGTGCCTTGATCTGGACACAGAAGGCAGGTCAGGTTTGGTCTGCTGGAGTTCAGCCACTAACTTGCCCACCTCCTCTATACTTTCTTCTCTCAATGAAGAAGCGTGTTAGCGCCAAAGGCACCTGCTGTAGTGGAATTCAGTTTCTGCTCCACCCCTCACTGTCTGTGACCTCCTTATGACAGGGACCTTACCTCCCTGAAGCCTGGGTCCTCATCTGTTAGGATGTTTAACACAACACCTATCACGCAGGCTCATGATAGAGAAGACACGCATAAGCACCTAGCCCAGGCAAAGGGCAAAAGGACCTGGAGGGGCTGCATCCCAACTGCCCTCCCGGATACCTGGCAAGGTAGGGTACCTGCCGAAGGTGGGGAGCAGGTGCAGGGTAGTCCGAGGCAGACTGGACAGGTCACAGGTCACTCTGGAGCAGCTAGGTGGTGGCACCGCTAGGGCTGCCTGCCCAGCTCTCTTTCTGGGCTTCCCGGGAGAACCATCTAGTTGGTGTTCAGGGTCAGAGGCCAGCTTCCCCTGCCTGCAGGCATGGCCTGGGGAGGAGTGTGTCTCTGGGTCAGGGTGCATGGGTCCGTGGTGCAGCCTGAGGCAGGACTGAGCTGAGCGGTGGCCTGCAGGTCTCCCTGCGGCCCTTCCATTCCCAGGCTTCACAATGACCCATGGAGTGCCCAGCCCAGTCTTTCCCCAGTGCAACTAAAGCCTCAGAGGTGAGCTTAGCCTTAGGCCTCCAGGTTTTATGCCAGTTTCCTGGGGGCATTTAGCAAGTTGCTTCACATAGGGGCCTTGCTATCCTGCACAGAGAAGAAACATCGGAGAGGCTGAGAAATGCGGCTGTTGTTGGGTGGAAAGAAACCACCCAATTTGAATAGAGGTGCACCAGATGCTAGGGCCACAACCTTTGCTTGTGGCAGGCTCCAGCACCAGCTCCAGGCCTCCATGTCCTGGCCTGCCTGCAACATAGCCCTTGGAACACCCTCAACAGGTCAAGTCCTTCTCCCGCTTTGCCTTGGCATGAGGGCTGCGACCTGTGTAGAACTTGAGGACACTGGACTGGAGCGAAGGGGCCAAGGAGCCCTATCCCGAACCCAGCTACCTCCCTCCCTTTGCACCTCTCTACCTCCCTCCCTCCTCTAGCTGGAGCTGGAGGGAGCCCACTAGAGGCAACTGGCCACCCAGTCTTTCACCAGGGGATGGTTTCTGGATTCTTGCTGGATGTCTGCAGTCTCTGCCTCCTCTCCCAGAACCAGTCCCTGACACAGAACCATTAGCTCAGACCCTTCTGACCCCAGGCCTTCCCACTGGGCACCTCTAGGGACACCCTTCTGTTGAGGCCCCCTACTCCACTGGTCTGTCCACAAAACAGCAGGAGGCCCAGGGAGGTGGGACAATGCCCCACTGCAACAGAAACTTGGCAGATTGACAAGGCGAGTGTGTTTGGCCCCCGGGTGTGGGACACGGGCTCCCTGGGGCTTGTGTTACCTTTGCTTTGTCTAGGGCAGCCCCGCAGGCCCCTCTGTGTCCACTCAGGAGCTTGGTGGTAGGTTCCTATCCTGGAGCCACCCAACTCTCAGAGTCCCTGACAGGAAGGCACACCCTCATCTTACGACTCTGCCCCCCAGGGCCCATGGGGAATGAACACAAAGAAGGCGGGAAGCTGGAAACCGTGGGCTGGGAAGGAGGGCGGTATATGGGGGGTCTTCAAAAAGTTGGTGGAAAATGTATATTATGACAAAAAGTTACGTATGCATTTAGCAATTGTTTGTACTGAAACAAACTTATCCTTTAATTCCACTTTTTTTCCACCAACTTTTGGAAATTCCCTCCTTTTTGCAGGTCTGCCTTTCTCCTGTGCTCCCACCAATGACCCATTGGTCCTGGGTGTGGGTGGTCACGTGGCCCCAGTGGCATCTGAAGGGAGCAGGGCCCCACAGGTCCCACACCCAGAAGGGCTTGAGTTCTGTAAGGTGTGCATTCATTTTACACCAAGGAAGGAGTTTCAGAAACAAAAGAAATTGGGAAACACTGGGTCAGCCAAAGTTAACTGAACTCCAGGGGTTCTCAGAGCTGTCTGCTCTCTGAGAGGTCAAGTACAACATTTTCTGAGGCCAATGAACTAGACACTTAAAAACATTTAGGTTTATTGGAGACGCAGATGCAGACAGACACACACAGGGTAAAGGGATAGAGTGCTCTCATCTGCTGGGCCACTCCCCAAATTCCTGGGGGGTACAGGAACTCAACCCAGATCTCCCATGCTCCCATGTGGACAGCAGGGAGCCAACTACTTGAGCCATCACCACTGCCTCCCAGGGTGTACATTAGCAGGAAGCTGGTGTCTGGGGCCAGAGCTGGGTATGGAACACATGCAGTTGGATTAAGGTGTGGGTGTCTTACCTGCTAGGGCAAATGCCCACCCCTAGGACACCACTTCCCCCCATTTCTGTGTTTCCATAGTCCCCGGATCACAATGGGGAGGGGCTGCTTTATGCCCCCTCGACAGTTATCGGTGGGAGGAGGGTGGCGGGAATTTGGTATGGAAGAGGGCGCCAGACCTCCTGGCTTTCCGTGAGCCTCCCTGGAGCATTCTTGCCTAGAAACCTGAGACTTGGTGGGGTTACTATAGAAAGAGGCTGTCAGAGGAGGCTGGAGGGTCTGAAGCCCTAGCGTGGCTGTGAGCGCCTCTCTCCCTCTCTGTCCTGCCCTGGGCCCTTCCTCAGCCCCACCTGGGCAGTGTCTCCCATGGGGGTGCTGGGCTCTCTGTGTGTTCTCGCATCTGCCTTGTTGCATGCCTCCCTCTCTCCAAGGGCAGGTGCACGAGCCACCTAAAGAGAACCTCCTCCCCTCCAAGACTCCAGACCTTTCCTCCCCAGGGACACCTGGGTCAGCTTTCTCCCTCACAGCGGCTCCTGAAGATCGGGGAGCCAACCTGTCATGGCTGCTGGCCCAGGGCCCCCTGGGGCCATCCTTCTTGCTGTAACTCTCCCTCCTCCCCTTGGTTCCAGGCCCCAGGCCTCTGCCTATGGCCACACAGCAGCTGCCTCTCCAGCACCTGCCACCCATACCAGCTACAGCGAGGGCCCAGCTGCCCCTGCACCCAAGCCCCGGGTCGTCACCACTGCCAGCATCCGGCCATCTGTCTACCAGCCAGGTGAGATGCCGGGCGGGAGGGAGCGCGGATCCCTAGAGGATGGTGGTCCGTGAGGTCCTTAGAGCGAGGCTCAGCAGCCCTCCTTCCCCCAGCTGAGAGCCAGAACCCAGGGAGCCCGCATCTAGCCTTGGGGAGACAGGCGGGCAGTGCCAGGTGGGGCTGCAGCCTCCTGGCTGTTAGGAAGAGGATGCTCCTGGCTGGAGACTTCCAGACTCCGGGTGAGACAAGAGAGGGTTTAGAGGGAAATCGCTGCTGTCCCCAGTCGGTCTCGCTCAAGCCAGAGTTACAGGCAGCTATGATAAACAGGCTGTGGGGTTTGGACACCCTCTGACGTCACAGCAAGACCCTGGGCAAGCTGCTAAGCTGTCTGATCTGTGGCTTCTTTGCCTGAGATGGGATAACCCAAAACAGGTGTCATAAAGCCCAAGCAGGCCAGCCCTGGCACCACGGGCAGAGCTCACTGGCTGGCTGTTCTGTCTCTCTGGGCCACCCTCTCTCTCACAGGGACAAGGACTCATACCCATGTCGCCTGCTTGGTAGGCCAAGTTGGGCCTGCTTTGCAGAGCCCAGGGGTAATTCCAAGGCTGGCATGCAGAACACCCTGCCCTCCCAGCTGGTGTTCAAGGCAGATGAGGGTCTTCAGCAGGTGTTTTCCCAGGTTGGGGGAAGGTGGCAGACCCTGGTCTGCAGCTGGGGCCCTCAGCAGGGCTCCCAGCACCCAGGCCCTGAGTTCGCTCTGCAGCCCCCCCAGCCCCTCCTTTGCACTGGACGGACGCCAGGAGGGCATAGGGCTGTGGTGCAGTTCCTCTGTTGTGTGCCCTTGACTCAGGCCTGGTACAGAGGAGACTGCTCAGCACCAGCACGGAGAATGAGGGAGCAAAGTGCCGGCGAAGAACACACAGTTGCAGAGGGGACAACTGCAAATGGGCTGTGAGCTGTGCATTGTGTACACTTGGAGCCAAAGTGTCACAGGGACCCAGAGTGCTCCCCTGGTTCTCGTTCCACTGATGGGTGAGCCATTATACTTCAGTACACGAGGGGCCTTCTACAAATTGATGGAAAATCAGTATCCTGAAAACACTAGCACAAATTTCTTTAAAAAAAAAAAAAATGTAGGGGCCGGCGCTGCAGCTCAGTAGGCTAATCCTCCGCCTTGCGGCACCGGCACACCGGGTTCTAGTCCCGGTTGGGGCACCAGATTCTGTCCCGGTTGCCCCTCTTCCAGGCAGGCCAGCTCTCTGCTGTGGCCAGGGAGTGCAGTGGAGGATGGCCCAAGTACTTGGGCCCTGCACCCATGGGAGACCAGGATAAGTACCTGGCTCCTGCCGTTGGATCAGCGTGGTGTGCCGGCCACAGCGTGCCAGCTGCGGCGGCCATTGGAGGGTGAACCAACGGCAAAGGAAGACCTTTCTCTCTGTCTCTCTCTCTCACTGTCCACTCTGCCTGTCAAAAAAAAAAAAAAAATGTAGGGGCTGGTGCTGTGACGTAGTGGGTAAAGCTATTGCCTGCAGTGCCAACATCCCATATGGGGACCAGTTCAAGTCCCAGCTGCTCCGTTTCCCATCCAGCTCTCTGCTATGGCCTGGGAAAGCAGTAGAAGATGGCCCAAGTCCTTGCGCCCCTGCACCTGTGTGGGAGATCCAAAGGAAGCTCCTGGCTCCTGGCTTCAGATTGGCTCAGCTCCAGCTGTTGCAGCCCTCTGGGGAGTGAACCAATGGATGGAAAACCTCTTGCATGCCCTCTCTCTCTCTCTGCTCCTGCCTCTCTGTAATTCTGCCTTTCAAATAAAATAATTAAATCTTTTAAAAAAATTTATTTTATTTGAAAGGCACAGTTAGAGAGAGAGAGTGAGAGACAGAAAGGGAGACTTTCCGTCTGCTGGTTCACACACCAGATGGCCCCAGCGGCTGGCTCTGGGCCAGGCTAGAGCCAGGAGCCAGGAGCTTCATCCGGGTCTCCCACATGTGTGCAGTCTTGGGCCACCTTCTGCTGATTTTCCCAGGTCATTAGCTGGGAGCCGGACTGGAAGTGGAGCAGCTGGGACTCAAACTGGCACCACTTGGGATGCCGGTGTCACAGGCAGGAGTGTCACAGTCTACACCACCATGCTGGCTCCTAGGCATTAATTTCAAAAGTTTTTTGCGCCCAAATAAACTTATCTTTTAGTTTCATTTTTCAGCAAACTTTCACAAGTACCCTCCTATCTATTTTTACAGCCATCTTGAATTTCTAGAAAGCAGCAGATTTTCCACTTAGCTGTGAGACAGGTATTTCATTCCCTTCCCAAGGGTCCTGCATCTAATTTCTAACTAACTGCTCCAGTCTATCCCTGAGCAGTTTTAGGTTTAGCCCGACTGAGGACACACATTTCCCGAATGTTCCCCGCCCTAACCACCCGCGTGGCCTCTCCACCAGACCTACACGGGGTAAAGGCCATGCTATCGGAGGTCAGCCAGGGCAGGGGAGAGGGAAGGCCTCTGCGTGTCTCTCTGAGCGTGAGAGCTGGCCCAGCAGCCGTGGGCTGGACTGAGGAGCACTCCTGCCGAGGCGCAGGGGGAGGCCGCGGGAGCGCGTCCCAGTGGCTGGAGCAGGGGACACACCAGGGGCACCCGCCTGGGGGTTCACACCTGCTTTCTGCGAATGCGCAGTCTCCAAGCACCGTGCCTGGCCCACAGGAGGTACCCTCCTGTCCCTTCAAGGGCAAGGACAGGGAGGCTGCACCTCCGCGGCAGGGGGTGGCATTGTGGACTGGGGGCTGCGAGGGCAAAACCTCCACGGGTGCCAGCGGGCGCCAAGGGCAGACCGCGCGCACGGCAGGGAGGGTGGAAAGCGGTGTGGATTCGTCGCCTCGGAAGCCATTCATTTCCGTTGGGCCCGGCCCGGGGTAGGCCCTTCCGGGGCGCGTCCGCCCGTGCCGCCGGGCTGTGCTCGGCAGGCCCGCCAGGGGGCGGCACTGCTCCGGGGGCGCGCGGCCGGGCCCGCCCTGCGCCTTTGGCCTCCTCCTCCCCAGGCGGGCGAGACGTGCCGGAGCCGCGGGCCTCCGCGCCGTTCCCAGGCCGCGCAGACGTTAACTCATTCCTGCCTGCAGGGAAGGGGGCGGCCTGCCTCCACCTCCCTCGCCCGGGGAGGCCCGAGCGCCGGCTCTGCGCCCGGCGCCTTCCCCTCCGCCGCCCTCGGAGGCCACACGGTCCCCTCAGCGCGGCCCGGAGCGCCCGGCCGCCGCTCCCCGCGGGGCCTCCTCCGGGCTGAGGGTGGCGTGCGCGGCACGGGTCTTATCGCTGGCGCCGGGCCGGGGCGGCCGCTCCCCGCGACACCTGGGGCCCGGGAGGGATGGGCGGGCGGCGGCGGCGCGGGGGCCGGGCCAGCCTCGCCGCGGGTGGCGGGGCCTCTGCGCGCGGGGCGGCCACGTCGGCCCGCGGGCCGGGCCCGGGAGTGAGTCAGAAATCACCTTGTTTAATTACACATTGCCGAGCCCGCCGAGTGCGATAGGGGCCTTTTGAACTTGCTAATTAGAGATGAAATATCGCCTTCTAATTTGGACGGGCTTCATTCCGTCACGCAGAAATAGCAACAGCCCCGGGGCTCCGCGAGAGGGGCTCGCACGACCCATGCTGGGGGCCTAGGGGGCCGGGCCTCACAAGGTGGGGAAGGCCCAGCTCGGGTGGGTACAGCGCCGGGCCAGGAAGCAGCCAATCCGGGATTCCGGCCTGTCCCTGGCAGACCTTGGTGTTAGAACAGGGGAGTGGACCTGGGAGGCGAGGTGGGCAGGGCCAGCAATTTGCAAGGGGCCACCTCAAGTCTGTCCTGCTGGCCCGGGGAGTGGTTAGGCAGAGACTTGGACGGGCGCCGCTGCCTGGACTCCCGTTCCAGCTACAGATCCCTGTGGACGGCTCTGAGGCGGTCACTTCGCCTCTGCTGGCCCTAGCTCCACATCTGTGAAATGCGCTTGCAAATAGTAGGTGTGGTGAAGCCCACAGAGGGGCTGAAGTGTGTGGGCTGTCGCTGCTCAGTAGCCACCGTGTTGATTAGAAAGAAATGGTCCAGAGGCCATATTTTAAAAATTCTTTATTTTTTAAAAAAGATTATTTATTTGAAAGGCAGAGTGACAGAGACACAGAGAGTCAGATCTGTTTCACTCCTCAAATGGCAGCAACGGCTGAAGCCGGGCCCATCCAGAGCCAGGAGCTTCTTCTGGGTCTCCCAACTGGGTGCAAGGCCCCAAGCACTTGGGCCATCCTCTGCTGCTTTTCCAGGCCGTTGGCAGGGAGCGGGACTGGAAGTGGAGCAGCCTGGACTCGAACCTGCGTGCATATGAGATACCGGTGCCTTTATCCGCTTCGCCACGGCGCCAGCCCTGCCATATTTATTTTATTTTATTTATTTATTTTTGACAGGCAGAGTGGACAGTGAGAGAGAGAGACAGAGAGAGAGAAAGGTCTTCCTTTGCCGTTGGTTCACCCTCCAATGGCCACCGCGGCCGGCGCGCTGCAGCCAGCGCACCGCGCTGATCCAATGGCAGGAGCCAGGTACTTATCCTGGTCTCCCATGGGGTGCAGGGCCCAAGCACTTGGGCCATCCTCCACTGCACTCCCTGGCCACAGCAGAGAGCTGGCCTGGAAGAGGGGCAACCGGGACAGAATCCGGTGCCCCGACCGGGACTAGAACCCGGTGTGCCAGCGCCACAGGCGGAGGATTAGCCTAGTGAGCTGCGGCGCCGGCCGCCCTGCCATATTTCTTAAAAGCAAAAGAAAGCTCAGACCATGAACTTTTCATGTGTTTTTATTTAACCCAATATATTCAAAATATCACTTCCACGTCTGATCAGTGTAAAATCATTACTAATGAGATGTTTTATATTCCTGTCTGGTGCTGAGTCTTCACTGTGCGGTATGCATTTCACACTTCATAGCACTAACCGCATTTCAAGAGCTCAGCAGCCACAAAGGGCTGTGGATTAGACAGCGCAGGATTAGGGTGTTTGTTCTTAATCCTTTTTTTGCGGAGAACTGCGCCTCACTGAGAAACGTCAAAAGTCCCCTTGATCTGTAGCAAGGAGGGGGAAGCTGTTCTGGGCCACCTCCCACTATCCCCAGTCCTTTCAGTTCCCAGAATTACCCCTGCCCCAGCAGTTTAAGACCCTCTGCTTCTGCTGTGAGCACTAGGGAGCTGTGCCAGGTTCTTAGTGAGGGCGAAACCGTTGACACTTCAAAATGGGGTTTCACAGCTTTACAAAATGCATGCACTATGTCACTCCAGTCAGTCCCCACCACACCCTGTGGGCGGGCAGGGGTGTCATACATTCCATCAGTGTTGAGTTATCTGACTTGAGGGTGTCACATCCCACCCCTCGCCCACAGTCTACCTGGTGACCACCAGGCCCTGGGGTGAGCTGGCAGCTTTACCAACCCCACTCACATTTAGCGACACATTATGCCAGGTACTAGGATCGGCACTTTATATATTATATGTATATATTATATACACATATATGTATATATATTAATTTAAAAATGTTTTTATTTGAAAGGAAGAATGACAGAGGAGAGAGAGAGAGAGAGATCTTCCATCCACTGGTTCACTCCCCCAAATGCTTATAAGAGTCAGGGCTGAATCAGGCCAAAGCTAGGAACCAGGAACTCCATCTGGATCTCTGGAATGGCTGGCAGGGACTCAAGTACTTGGGCCATCATCTGCTTGCCGCCTGCCAGGGTGTGCATTAGCAGGAAGTTGGGTGGGAAGCCAGGGAAGTTGGGACAGAAGCCAGGCACTCCTGTATGGGCTGCAGGGGTCGCAAGCGATGGCTTCAATTGCTGTGCCACAACATTCACCCCAGCACTGTGTTTCTCATTTCCCCTTCATCCTCATAATAACCCTGCGAGGTCCTAAGAATTATTGTTGCCTCAGGGAACTGAGGCCTGGAGAGGCTGCAGTACTTGCCTGAGTGTATACAGCCGGTACGACTGTGCTGCATGCCTGGGAATGGGGGCTCCTGTTGATGGTGACCCCTTGATGACATGGTGCATGGGGGTTTCTTTATAGGGGCAGCTGGGAGCTAGAGAAAATGCTTGGAGAGTCCCAGGCTGCCCCTTCCTGGCTCTGAGCCCCAGTGACCTCACAGGTGAAGGGGATAATGTGAGGACTGACTCAGACGATCCATTATGTGCCTAGCCCACCCATTAGTAAGTGCGAGGAAGATTCCTTAGGGAGAAGGTTTCACCTCTGGCCTAGGGTGGCTCCGGGGCAGGGCTGGGGAGGGTTTTTCCCCTTCACACCCCCAGACCCGTGATTCCCAGCTCTGAAGCGTGAGTCAACTAGGAACAGAAAGTACAGAGTTGGAGCAGCAGGCCAAGGGTCACCCAGAGGGAGACGACAGGTAGGGCCACGGTCTTGAGCCCTGCAGAAGGGCTTTCCTCCCCAGGAAGGCCCAGTGGGGGCTGCCTTGGCACAGTCCACGTGCCCAGGCCAGGCTAAGGGGCCGGGGTGGGAAGCTGCCCCCCGTGCTTCCCCAGGGAGGGAGAAGGAGGGCTCCTTTGCAAGCTGTGGGCTGGGGTGGGGCTGCTGGCACCCGCTGCGATGGAGGAGGAGGCCGGCTGGGTGATGAGCTGGGTGGGGGGAGCAGCGGGGTCTGCCCAGCTGGCCTCACACTGGGAGGCGGCAGAGTGTTCAGAAAGTTGGGGTTTGAGGACCCAGATCTGAGAGGGCTCTGGTTAGCGGCTGCAGCACCCGTTCTGTCCTGGGATCCCCAAAAGAGCTTCCTCTCTCAAGTAGCAGGAGGGACCCAGCCCTGGCTTCCACAGCAGCCTCAGGCGGTCGCTCAAATACACTGTCGGTGTCTACCAAGGGGATATGGGGAAGCAGGGTTCCCCCAGACGCAGTGTCTCCACCCAGGCTAGCTCCCTGATCAAACCAAGATGGAGCCTGCACCACTACCACCACAACCCCCCCCCCCCCGCCCTCAACCCCATGCAAATCGAGTCAACCTGTATGATTCAAGAAAGTGATGGTAGCTAAACCTGAACCTGAAACCCCAGTTGTGGGGGGCCAGCTGCTTGGTCCCCACATCTGGCCTAGATCCAGGCCCAGCAAATGCATTTCTGGGACAAATCACTGGTCAGAGAGCGACTGCAGAGCATCCTCCAGTCAAGGCCGAACTGACCCACTCCCACTCCCACCACTCCCCTCTCCTGCAGGCCGGGGGCAGGCAGCCCTGCCCACATGGATGTGTATAGCCGCATCGCCCAGCCTCCCCTCCCCTCCTCCAAGCCCGCTTCCTCCCTGGGCAGGCCTGCACCTGATCTTCCCCATCCCTGGACACCCAGAAGTTCAGGGACGTGTCTCCCTGAAACACTGGAATCCTACTGCTCTTTGCAGCTCTATCTGGGGGAAGAAGAAGTGGGAGGTATGGATTCCTGATGCATTTTTCTTCTGGTCTTTTTGGTTTGCAGTGCCTGCACCTACCTACAGCCCGTCGCCAGGAGCCAGTTACAGTCCAGCCCCCTACACTCCTTCACCTGCCCCTTCCTACACCCCCTCCCCTGCCCCCACCTACTCCCCTTCCCCAGCACCCACCTACACCCCCTCACCTGCCCCCAACTATAACCCTTCACCCTCAGCGGCCTACAGTGGGGGTCCCACGGAAGCTACCAGCCGGCCCCCCTGGGTGACAGATGACAGCTTCTCTCAGAAGTTCGCCCCTGGCAAGACCACTACCACTGTCAGCAAGCAGACCCTGCCACGGGGGGCCCCAGCCTACACCCCGGCAGGGCCCCAGGTGTCCCCTCTCGCCAGGGGCACCGTCCAGAGGGCTGAGCGCTTCCCAGCCAGCAGCCGAACTCCACTCTGTGGCCACTGCAACAGCATCATCCGGTATGTCCTGCTGTGTCCTGGGTGACGTGGGGAAGGCAGGGGTGTGGATGCTCGCCCATGGCAGAGAGGGAGGGGAGGTACAGGATTCAGGAGGGAGCTGCAGGCATGTCCCTCCTGCACTGTCTGGGCTGACCTCTCTGAGCTTAAGGGGTCAGGCCACCCACGTGAGGCCCATGTCCCTGCGGGGTTGGGAGGGCCCCATGAGGTCAGTTGGGAAAACTCCAGTATGGTACCTATGCCAGGAGCTACCCCTTGGGCTAAGGCCGGGTGCTGGGAATCTGGAGGCTTATGGGACATGTTGCAAGCTGGCTGACACCATGGGTTTTGACCCAGCTTTCCTTTAGAGTGGCTACTGGGTCTTTCTTGGAGATAGGCCTGTGTGGCCCCAGAGCCTTGGTGGGTATCAGCCACACTGGAATGAAAGCAAGTCACTTCATGCTTAGAAGCCAGCAGTCGTGGACAGTGCTTGTTTGCATACTCTGTGTGTGTGTGTATGTGATGAGCTCATAGGTACACGGAAAATATGTTTATTTAAAATGAAAGTAGCACATCCTCATTAAAGAAGAAATAGACAATGCAGAAAAGTAAAAGCGAGGATACAAAAAATTTGCTCACCATCCCTACAACTACATGACCTACAACTAGACTCTGGTTTGTATCCGGGTCCCCCACTTACCAGCCCTGTGGCCTCGGATGAGCTACTTAACCGCGCAGAGTCTCAGTTTCCTTGCCTGAAAATGGGCACCATCATAGCACCCACTTCTTAGGGTTGTTGGGAGGGTGAAACACGTTAACAAATGCACAGTTCTTGCATTGTACCTGGCACAGATAAACATGTAATCAGTGTTAGCTGTCAGCATCATTCTTTTTAAGATTTATTCATTTGAAAGGCAGAGTTATATATAGACAGATCTTCCATCTGCTGGTTTACTCCCCAAATGGCTTCAGTGGCTAGGGCTGAGCCACTGAAACCAGGAGCCTGAATCTCCATCCGGGTCTCCCACATGGGTGGCAAGGCCCCAGGTGCTTGGGCCGTCATCCACTGCTTTCCCAGGCACATTAGTGGGATTGGAACTGGTGCTCATAAAGGATGCCAGCGTTGCAGGGGGTGACTTAATCCTCTGCATGTTCATGCGTCACCTGCCATGGACAGGTGGGACTTGTTTCCTCGTTCTCTTTCCTATGATGCAACAGGGAACGCTTTTCTGCAGGGAGCTTTCTCGGACCCTCACAGCACTGCACTGAACAGTCACGATGTCAGAGTTACTCGGTGTTACGCGTGAACACTGCTGGGGTTCTTGAAATACCTGCTCCCAGGGTTTGGAGCTGCCTTGTTCACGGCTGCCCTCTGCTTCTCTAGGGGCCCTTTCCTCGTAGCCATGGGCCGCTCCTGGCATCCGGAGGAGTTCAACTGTGCCTACTGCAAGACCTCCCTGGCAGACGTGTGCTTTGTGGAGGAGCAGAACAACGTTTACTGTGAGCGGTGTTATGAGCAGTTCTTTGCCCCACTCTGCGCCAAGTGCAATGCCAAGATCATGGGGGTAAGCGACTCTGACCCTCATCTTTGCCCATCTCCCCCAACCAGCTTCTCCTCCTCCCCCAGGATTGTGAGTTCCCATTAGGAGGCCAAGAACAGAGAGAAAGCAACTCGGGCTCTGTCCTTAGAAGGGAGTCGTTCTGCCTCCAAAGAGCCAGGGATCAAATGAACTTGAAGCAAGAGATGATTATATGCCTGCACCACATGGCTTGTGAGATGTCTGCAGAGCGAGTTATTGCTTCATGGGCCTGACCTCACCACTCACCTGAATGCGGCCTTGCCCCTCCGTGCCCCTTTGGTCAAATGGCAGGAGTAAGCTGGACCTCTCGCCTGAGGTTTATGGGAGGACCAGGGATGACAGCTTTTGTGAGAAGGCATGGAACCTGGCACGTGGCCAGTCCTCTGCTGCCCCTGGGCCTTTTCTCAGCATGCCCAGGTCCTCTCCCTCGTGGGAGACTCAGGTGGTGGCCAGGGCCTGGAGGGGGAGGCCCTCCTTTCTGTCCTGAGCGCAGGCTCTTTCCCCAGGAAGTGATGCACGCCCTGCGGCAAACATGGCACACCACCTGCTTTGTGTGTGCGGCATGCAAGAAGCCTTTCGGGAACAGCCTCTTCCACATGGAAGACGGGGAGCCCTACTGCGAGAAAGGTAGGAACAGGGAGAAGCCCTGTAGTGACGGGGGTGGGGTGGAGTTGGTGAGGGGGGACCCCCGCCTGGATCCAGCCGCACCCATTCGGCCCAGAAGCCCTTTGTTTCCGGAAGAGGGGTTTATTCTTGTTTTTGTTACATGCTGTAAGTTAACTAGGTCCCCTGCTCCCTTGAGTCCCTTTCCTGGGATGGGGGGCAGAGTCTCTGGCTTAGGGCTTACATGGATCACAAGTTGGCATCTTACAATGGCTCCGGGAACCTTTTGCAACATTTTGATCAGAGACCACCGGGTCTACTCGGAAAAGCCACGGTCCTAGGTCCTATTCTGAGCTCCTCTTCTGGCTGGCTTTGCAGCCCTGCATGAGTTACTGAACGTCTCTGAACCTCATGCTCCTCCCTGGTGAGCACCTGCCTTACAGAGCCGTGGCAAGCACGTGTGTAAAGCAGCCTGTGCCTGAAAGTCCCCCAACCCTGCTCCTGCTGTATTGGTCAGAATGCATGGTTCTGTAGGTTAGATTCCTGTCACTCCCTGAATTGAGGGTTTCTCTGGACCCTTCCATGCTGGCTGGTGTCTGATACTGCGGGGTAAATCACTGTCAATTCAGAGAGTTGGGGGTGCTGAGCATCGGCCTCTCACGCAGCCCTGTGTTCACAGCCTCCCTCTTTCAGAAGGGGCCCAGGCAACTCCAACACAGGGGAAATCAGCAGAGGGAAAGTGAGCAGCTGAGTATGAAGACTGACAGTTTGCAGTGTCTGGGGAACGAAGTTGAGGTCAGAAAGAGAAACACAGTTTACTTTAAATTCAGAACGGAGGAGTGAGTGTTGTGGAGCAGTGGGTTAAGCCACTGCCTGGGACGCCTGCATCCTAGGTCCACACCAGAATGCCTGGGATTGGGTGCCACCTCCAGTGCAGATCCAACTTCCTACTAATGCACCTTGGAGGCAGAGATGATGGCACAAGTACTTGGCTTCTGCCACCCACGTTGGAGACCTGGATGGCATGTCTAGATCCTGGCTTCAGCCTGGTTCAGCCCTGGCTATTTTGGCCATTTGTGCAGTGACCCAGTAGATGCAATATCTATTCTTCTTTTCTCTTTCTCCCTGACATTCTGCCTTTCAAATAAACAAATCTGCTGGTTCACTCCCCAAATGGTCACAACAGCCAATGCTGGGTCAGTCTGAAGCCAGAAGTTGGGAACTCCATTCTGATCTCCCACGTGGGTGCCAGGGACCCAACCACTTGGATCTTCATCCTCTGCCTTCCCAGGCACGTTAGCAAGGAGCTGGATTGGAAGCAGAGCAGCTGGAACTCAAACCTGTGTTCCAATATGAGATGCTGGTGTCGCAAGTGGTGGCTTAACCAGCTGTGCCGCAATGCCAGCCCCAATAAATAAACCTCAAATAAATCAGAAAGGAGGAGCCATTCCATTTCCTCAAGGGAAAAAGCAAGACAAAATAAAACTTTCTCCTCCTTATATATAGTAAACTACAACAGAAATTTCTTGGGTTCTTGTACTGGTGAATTTTCTCTTTAGCTCCAAAGTTAATTGAATGACTTGAAACAAGTCACTTAGTCACTCTGTGCCTCAGTTTACATATCTGTAAAAGGGAGAAGGTAACACTGTCTTATGAGTATATTGTGTTGATTGCAATTAACGAAAGTGCTAGTCTGTCAACACAGGTTGCTGTTAGTCATTTGCTAAAAGCACTGTGGAATTCCCATCGCTTGCCATGAGCCACAGTTGGTGTCTGAAGCTTAATGAAAGAATAACAGATGTCCAACATCGCCACCGCCTCTCTCTCGAGCGCCCCCTAAAAACAATCAAGCTTCTCAGAAATGACATTTTGAGTAAGAAAGCGCAGGCAGGGGATGGCCTAGTGATACCCTGCCCTAGCCTACCTTCTGTCGCTCTAACAGAACTGCCGAGATTGGGTAATTTATACAGAAGAAAGGCTTATTTTATTTTTTATTTTTGACAGGCAGAGTGGACAGTGAGAGAGAGAGACAGAGAGAAAGGTCTTCCTTTGCCGTTGGTCCACCCTCCAATGGCCACCGCGGCCGGCGCGCTGCGGCCGGCGCACCGCGCTGATCCGATGGCAGGAGCCAGGAGCCAGGTGCTTTTCCTGGTCTCCCATGGGGTGCAGGGCCCAAGCACCTGGGCCATCCTCCACTGCACTCCCTGGCCACAGCAGAGAGCTGGCCTGGAAGAGGGGCAACCGGGACAGAATCCGGCGCCCCGACCGGGACTAGAACCCGGTGTGCCGGCGCCGCTAGGCGGAGGATTAGCCTAGTGAGCCGCGGCGCCGGCGAAAGGCTTATTTTTTAAAAAAGATTTATCTATTCACTTGAAAGTCAGAGTTACACACAGAGAGAAGGAGAGGCAGAGAGAGAGAGAGAAAGAGAGAGAGAGGGGTCTTCCATTCGCTGGTTCACTCCCCAATTGGCCACAATGGCCAGAGCTGCGCCAATCTGAAGCCAGGAGCCAGGAGCTTCTTCCAGGTCTCCTACGCGGGTGCAAGGGCCCAAGCACTTGGGTCATCTTCCACTGCTTTTCCAGGCCATAGCAGAGAGCTGGATTGGAAGTGGAGCAGCCAGGACTTGAACCAGAGCCCATATGGGATGCCAGCACTGCAGGTGGTGGCTTTACCCACTACACCACAGCGCCGGCCCCCCAAATATCTCTTTAAGACCCTACTTTCAGTTCTTATGGGTACATATCCAGAATAGGATTTCTAGCTCTTCTTGCAGCTCTGTTTTTTTGACTTTTCAAGATAACTGAACCATTTTCCATAGTGGTTGCATCATTTCATTTCAACAAGACACAAGAGTTCCAATTTCTCCACACCTTGCCAACATTTGTTACTGGTTCCTGTATCATATCATTTTTATCACTAATATGAAAGGTGCAGAAGGGAGTCCTTTTAAATCTGCAGACTGAGCCAGAGTGATAGCATCTAGGCTCAGAAGGACTTAAGTTGGCTGCAAGAAATGAGCTGACATTTTAATCTAAGATCTTCATGCAAATAAGAGAGGTGGGAGGGTCAGGCTCTGACATCTGGACCTGCACCCAGCAGTTCCCAAGCCTGCCAGGGCATCTCAATTACCCAGGGAGCTTTGAAAGTGAGAGAGGAGATAAATTCCCAGACCTATTCTCGATCTATAGAAGCAGAATTTTGTAGGGGCATCTTGCCCTGCCCGGGTGACTTTGATACCCAGTTAGGTTTGCGATGAGAAACGTTTCTGAAAGTGTGGACAGGACAAGCAGCATCCACATCACCTGAGAACTGGTTAGAAATGCAACTCTTTAGGCCCCACCCCAGAACTAGGGAATCAGAAACTCAGGGTGTGGAGGTCAGCAGCTGGGTCTTGAGAAACCCTCCACGGGATTCCAAGGTTTGAGAACCATTGCTCTAGAAAAACACCGAGCGCTCTTTCAGACAGAGCGTCTGTGACCTGATAGATGGAAAATCTTTTACAATAGCAATAAAATCCATTAAATACAAGGGTATTAATTCAATGTGGGACATAAGAGAGTTAGTCAAAGAAAATTATAAAGACCTACAGGGAGAAATAAAGGAAGAAATAAATAAACAAGGAGCTAGATTATGTTCCTGGTGGGAAAAGCCCACGCACTGGCTTAACGCAACACCAGATGCATTCTCCTTTTGTAGAATAAATGGAGTAAAAATAGCAACTTTAAAAACATATATCAGGGTCAGGCTTGTGCTAACAGTTTTTTTTTTTAACATTTGCTTGTTTATTTATTTGAAAGGCAGAGTGTGAGAGAGACAGAGAGAAAAATCTTTCATCTGCTGATTTACTCCCCACCAAGTTCCTACAATAGCCAGGGCTGAGCCAGACAGAAGCCGGGAGCCAGAAATTCATCTGTGTCTTCCACGTGGGTGGCAGGTTGTGCTACCAACTTTTAAACAAAGTGACAATTGTCCAGATCATACAGAATCAAGTTTAAACAGAAAGATCAACCAGAGGATGAGACTAAACATTCCAGAAAAATATTCAAGCCATTATAAAGTTTTAATCTGTGGACAAACCAGCAGGAGAAGGAATCACTATTTACTAAGATTGTTTTAAACATTTCGAGAAGGAATCACTATTTACTAAGATTGTTTTAAACATTTCTTTGTTCTCATTCATCTTGTACCTGTCAAATATGTGTTGAACGTGTGCCAGTCATGACAGGGCCTCTACCCTCAATATCCTTGAGCAAATCTCTCATGTAGCATGTACATGAACAGTCAAGAGATGGTGGGTGGCGGAGTGGATATTGACAAATGGGTGGCTGGGTGGATAGAGGAAAGGAAGAAGGAAGCAAGCAAGCGAGACAGGGTGGTAGGTGGGTGGATGAATGAGTGAGTGGAAGGAAGGAAAGATGGATGGGTGGATGGTGGATGGTGGATGGATGGATGGGTGGGTAGGTAGATGGGTGGGTGGATGGATGGATGGGTGGGTAGGTAGATGGGTGGGTGGATGGATGGGTGGATGGGTGGATGGATGGATGGGTGCATGGATGGGTGCATGGATGGGTGGATGGATGGGTGGATGGATGGATAGATGGATGGGTGGATGGGTGGATGGATAGATGGATGGGTGGATGGGTGGATGGGTGGATGGGTGGGTGGATGGATGGATGGACGGATGGGTGGATGGATGGGTGGGTAGATGGATGGATGGATGGATGGGTGGATGGTGGATTGGTGGATGGATGGGTGGATGGGTAGATGGATGGGTGGATGGATGGGTGGGTAGATGGATGGATGGATGGATGGGTGGATGGTGGATGGGTGGATGGATGGGAGGATGGGTAGATGGATGGGTGAGTGGGTGGATGGATGGGTGGATGGATGGATGGGTGGGTGGATGGGTGGGTGGGTGGATGGATGGGTAGGTGGATGGATGGTGGATGGATGGATGGGTGGGTGGATGGATGGATGGGTGGGTGGATGGATGGGTGGGTGGATGGATGGATGATGGATGGGTGGATGGGTGGATGGATGGGTGGGTAGATGGGTGGATGGGTGGATAGGTGGATGATGGGTAGATCAATGGATGGATGAGTGTGTGGGTGAATGGATGGAAGAAAAGAAGGAAGGAAGGAGGTATGAATGGACGGAAGGAAGGATGGGCGGAAGGAAGAGAGGAAGGAAGGAAAGGGAAGCCCTCAGGAAGGCCATCTCTTCTCTCCTGGTTGAGGTGGGGGGATGAGTATTCCCCAGAAAGAAGCCAGGCCCAAAACCCAAAAGACTGCAGAGATCCTGGTAGAAAAAGTGGGGAGAGTTTTCCAAGCCCAAAAGGTGGTTTATACAGAGGCGTGGAAGTGTAAGAGAGAGCACAGGTGTGAGAGGGACTGCTCAGGAGCAATGACAGAGAAGTGAGTGGGGGTGCATTGCACTCTAGTACACTTGGACAGACCGAGCCGGACCCCCGCAGCGACTTCCTGAAGGAGTCAACCCTGTTTTCTCAGCTCCGGGGAGGTGATGCACTTGTGCCTGGTGAAGAACTTAGGTACTCTGTCATGATACAGTATAAGCTAAGAGGAGAAGCCGTACATTGGAAAAAGTAAGCAAGATGCAAGTGCAGCTTTTCAAAGCCCAGTGGCAAGTAGATGAGGAGCTGGAGACAGCATACAGTCCTGCGCGGAAGATGAACTCCGGAGTCCCCCAGGCCTGCCGCTGCTCCTGCTATCTAGAGTGATGGAGCCTCCCCAGCGAGTTTTCTCGTCTTTCCGGTGGGCCGGTTCTCTCTCCACAGAGCTGCTGTGAGGATTAACCAAGAAGCAGTAGGCACTCGAATCCCAGCTCCCCACCGTCCTTTCATTCCTTGGGAAGACTTTCAGAGAGGAACCAACGGGCTTGCTGGTGTGCGCCGAGCACTTCAGGCACATTATCCGATTCCACCTGCTCCGCGGGTCTGGTTCTGTAGTTATTCTCATGATAAGACGGGCACATCGAGGCCCTGAGAAGTTAGATGACGTGGCCTGGTTTTGAACAATTCCTTCACCGAGCCGGGGTTGAGCCCAGCCCTTCTTTCTGCACCAGCACAAGGGGGTAACTAACTCCAGGGCAGATGATTGGGAACAGGGGAGAGAAATCAGTCCTATAACAGAGTTTTTTGTCTGTGAGATGCCAAACCACTCATTGGGCTTCACTCACTGGGCCCCAGCCTTTGACTGGGGGGTGTCCTGGCCTTGGGTCCGTGTGGCTGGGCTGCTCCTCCCTGCCTGCCTGGGAGCCTGCTCCTCACTCTGCCTTTCTTTGCAGACTATATCAATCTGTTCAGCACCAAGTGTCATGGCTGCGATTTCCCTGTGGAGGCTGGTGACAAGTTCATCGAAGCGCTGGGGCATACCTGGCATGACACCTGCTTCATCTGTGCGGTATGAGAATCGAGCAGGAGGGAGTAAGGGGGTGGGGGTGCGAGTGGGGGTGGGGAGGGAGGAGATGACCAACTCTTGACATCTCTTGCAACTCCTGCACTCTGTTAGGGATTTTTAATGTGTCTGCTTCTTTAAAAATTTTTATTTATCTATTTTATTTGAAAGGAGGAAAGGGAGAGGCAGAGACAAGAAAGACAGAGATCTCCCATCTGCTGGTTTACTCCCCAAGTGCCCATAACTGATGGGGCTGGACCAGGCCATAGCCAGGTGTTGGGGATTCAATTCAGATCTCCCATGTGGGACCCGAGCACTTGGGCCATCACCTGCTGCTTCCAAGGGCGCACATTAGCAGGAAGCATGCATGGGAAGCAGAGCTAGGACTTGAACCCAGGCACTCGAATATGGAATGTGGGCCTCCCATGTGGCGTCTTAACCACTGTGCCAAATGCCCACCCCTCTGATCATTTTTAAGGGCTGGCAAATATTATGATGCCTTGATATGTCCGTGAAACAAAGTTTCACTACTAATCACTATTTATAAACCAGTGTTGCCTTGTTACTTTCCATTTCATTGTGGACAACAGAACGTTCTAGGATTTGGCAAACCAAGAAGCTTGTCTCAGCAGCAAAGCTCCTGATAGGGCAGCAAATGGTGCCTGGTTTGCAAGGAGGGCAGGTGGCTTCCTATGGTTACACATTGCTTCAGGTACAAATGATTTAAAGATTTCCCTCCCAATTTTCACCATGAACACTAACTGGTATAAGGTCTCTCTCTCTCTTTTGATGTTTTATTTATATATTTGAAAGGCAGAGTGACAGAAAGAGCAAGAGACAGAGAATCTTCCATCCACTGGTTCACTCCCCAAATGGCTACAATGGCTGGGCCTGGGCCAGACTGAAACCAAGAGCCAGAAACTCCATCTGGGTCTCCCACGTTGGGTGGCAGGGGCTCAAGCTCTCGGGCTGTCTTTTCCCAGGCACATTAACAGGGAGCTGAATCAGAAGCAGAGCAGCTGGGACTCCAGCCTATGCTCTGATATGAGACACTGGCATCGCAAGCAGCAGCTTAACCCCCTGCACCACAATGCCAGCCCCCAAAGGTTTCTCTTGATAGAACCTTTAGAAAGTAAGACCGAGTATCAGTTTATTTTCCTCACTTGTCCTGCTGCTGATATACAGCTGTCAGGAAATGAGCCCTGGGTTAACTATTAACTGCGTGCGAATTATTTCTGCTGAACAGCTGGGTCATTCTCACCATGAGATTGGCATTTTCCTTCTGAGGACTTTGGGCTGGGGTGTGGGGAGAACCCAACAGTGAGCCTACTGACACGTAGACTCTGGGTTGGAGGGGGATCGTCATTCCCGATAAAGCCCATCTCTAAATCGTATTTGGGAAAATTCATGTGCTACTACGGGTTTTTAAGTTAGTTAACTTCTTTATTTGAGACAGAGACAGCCCTCATCCATTGTTAATTCCCCAAATGCCTGCACCAGTTAGGACTGGGCTAGACTGAAGCTGGGAGCTAGGAAGTCAATCCAAGTCTCCCACATGGGTGGCAGGGACCCAAGTACTTGAGTCATCATCTGACACTTCCCAAGGTGCACATGGGCTGGAGGTGGGCATTGGAAACAGGGCTGGGACATGAACCCAGGCACTCATATATGGGATACAGATGCCCCAACCAGGGCCTTAGCAGCTAGGCCAGATGCCTGGCCCCTACTATTTTATTTTTGACCAGAGTTGCCCATGATAATTTTCAGGAATGTACAAAATATTTTTAATTAAATTAATCAATTGATTTAAGAGGAAGAGAGGGAGCTCCTCGATCTACTGGTTCAATCCCCAAATGCCTGCGACAGCTGGGGCTGGACCGAGGCTGGAGCCGGGAACTGGGAGCTCATCAAGTTTCCCATATGAGTGGCAAGAACCCAGTTACTTGAGCCATCACTGCTGCCTCCCAGGATCTCCACTAGCAGGAAGCTGGAGTCAGGAGTCAGAGCTGGGACTCAAACTCTATGTTGGACACCAGCATCTGAACCACCTGGCTAAGCACTGACTCCACCTGTGCAGTTTAAACTTGAATAATCCATGGAAGACTTAGGACATAAGACAACCCCAGTCACAGAGTCTGCCGCCGCTTACCTTTGGTCCCACACTTCCCTCTGCCCCCACCATTCATGAGATGCGTGGTAATCACTCTCTGCATTGTTTTGTGAAGGCCGCCATGACGACCTAAGGCTTAAGCCACAGTTCAGAAGCCCTGGAACCCTAAACCGGGGTGCTGACCAGGGCACTGCGCGCTCTCCTGGCTTCTGGTGGTCTCCTTGGCCTGCAGCTGCATAATTCCCGTTTCTGCCTGTCATCATGTGCTGGCTCCTGCTTTGTGTCTTTGGCCTTCTCTGCATGCGTGTCTGTCTCTGTGTGCTGCTCTTAGGAGGCCACTGGTCCTAACAAGTGAGGGAGCCATCACGTTCCATCTCAATTCACATCTTACTTACATCTACAAAGACTCTGTTTCCAAGTAGGTCACTGCTATGTCCCCGTGCTGGGAAAGCTACAGATACTGGGGGTTAGGGCTTCAACATATGCATTTTGAGGGACACATTCAACCCCTTAACACTCCAATTTTCTAGCTCTTTGAACAGATTTCCGGTTGCCTTTTAGGGTCCTTGAAGTATCTCTCCTCCAGCATGGTGGAGAGATAAATACTCTGGCTTTGGGGTTGTTCCCTGCAGAGCTACAGCCCAGCCAGGCAGAGCATAGGATTCTCTGGCCCTTACATTCAAGCCATGGCTTGTCTGATCCTGAGACACTGCCTGCAAGTCTGGTCTCCCACCTTCTAGAAGGATCCAAGAGACTTGGCAGAGATCCAGGAAGACAAAGGCATCGATGAGCTGTTGTCCAAGGGCAGATGGATGAGAAGGCTGTGCTGCGTGGAGAGGGAGCTGTGGCAAAGATGAGCCTGGGCCTGCTCCCTGGAGCCAGCTCTGTTGGGCTGAGAGTGCCAACAGCATCCGTCCTAGAGAGAGACCACAGAGGCAGGCACTACAGCTGGGGTGGTTCCGGCTGATTTCATAAGTAAGCTCCAGAGACCTGGAGCCAGTCAGGGGAGGGAGGCCTATAGCACTGCCCAGCAGACCCACCCACCTGGCCGTAGAGCCTGAGGGATTGCGTCATGCCTGCTATCTATCTGCATCAGGTAGGCTGGCGTCTCCTCCGCCTGGAACCACCTTGCCCCTTGGGGCACCATGCTGCGCACGAATCCCTGGGGGTCCCTGCTCTCAGCCTGATCCTACCCATTCGTTAGCCACCTCTGAGGCTCTTCTCTCTCCTCCTTCAGTCCCCCATCACCCTCCCCAGTCTGAATCATCAGGAAGTTCTCACAAGCAGCCAGCTCTGTCCCAGACCAGGGCAGCTCTTTGCCGACTCTCTCCAGGGCTTCCTTTCTGTCTTCCTGGAGTTAGATCTGGGGCATCCACCTTCTCAGACTTGTCTCCCCGTTGTCACCGGCAGTCAGATGCCGCCGTGAGAGCCTGGTGTGTCACTCAGCTTTTCGTTGCTATAATGAAATGCCCAAGACAGGCTGGCTTTGCAAAGCAAAGAGGTTTATCTGACACAGTTCTGGAGGTTCAAAGGCATGGCCCTGGCATCAGGGGTCCTTCCTTGGCTGCATCACGTCAAGAGAGATGGCAGTCGAGGGAGCCCATGTGTGGGGAGTGAGGGAACTGAAACCAGACAGGGAGCAAGAGAGGGACCCGGGAGGACGAGGCTGAGGCTTTTCTAACAGGCTCTTTCAGGAACTAGCCAGACCGAGCAAGAACCAGCCTAATCCCTTTAGAGGTCAGGCTGCTAATTGACCTGACTTCCATCAGGCTCCACCTCTTCAAGGTCCCGTCACCTTCCAATGTCACCATGCTGGGGACCAGGCATCAAGGGTATGGACCCTTGAGGGACAAACCACATGCACCCATAGCACCTGGTCATACTCAGCGTCACGGCATGCACCTGCGGTGTTTTCAGACCCTTTCCAGCTGTTTGGCTCCCAGGTGCTGCTGGCAGCCCTGTGTGAGCCCGGATACAACCTCCCCAGCTGTACCAGCAGGGACTTGCACCTGGGGCCTTCAGTGCCCCTCTCCTTTCCAGTTCTCTTGGGCTGAACCTGTGCTCACTGACACCTGCTCAGCTCAGAAGGATGATTTCCCTGTCACCGCTGCTGCCCCAAAGTGGGGACTCCACCTGCACCACTCCTTCTGATGGCAGCACAGCGCATATGCCCTCATGGTGGTCTAACACACTCAGAGGGCTCCCTCTGTGCAAACCGTTAAGTCAGAGTGGTTTCATATAAACACGGCCCCCGTCTGCTCGGAGCTCTGAGAAAAATCAGCATAGGCCTGAAGTCTTATAGACCTGGACAGAGTCAGTCAGTCTGTCTGTCTTTCTTTCTTTCTTTCTTTCCCTCTCTCTCTCTCTCTCTCTTTCTCTTTCTCTCTCTCTTTCTTTAATTAATTTATTTATTCAAAAGACAGAGTTACAGAGAGGCAGAGAGAGGTCTTCCATCTGCTGGTTCACTCCCCATATGGCCGCAACGACCATCTGAAGCCAGGAGCCAGAAGATTCTTCTGGGTCTCCCACATGGGTGCAAGGGCCCAAGGACTTGGGCCATCTTCCTCTGCTTTCCCAGGCCATAGCAGAGAGCTGGATTGGAAGTGGAGCAGCCAGGATTTGAACCGGCGCCCATATGGGATGCCAGCGCTGCAGGCGGCAGCTTTACCTGCTATGCCACAGTGCTGGCCCCTGGACAGGGAATCTTACCTCTGCATGTTATTACATCTGTGATATAAGCAAGACATTTGGACTGAGTCCAGCTTTTCCACTGTGAAATGTGGTAAAGGCACATCTTACCCTCTAAGGTCTTTAAGATTGTGAATAGAGAGTATCTAGCATTCTGCTTGTGCCACGGTGGCCTCAGAAGATCCCTGGGCCAGCATTGTGGTGCAGTGGGTTAATCTGCCACCTGCTATACTAGCATCATGTGGGCACCAGTTTGTGCCCTGGCTGCTCTACTTCCAATCCAGCTTCCTGCTAATGCATCTGGGAAGGCAGTGGAAGATGGCCCAAGTCCTTGGGTCCCTGCCACCATTGTAGGAGACCTGGATGGAGTTCCAGGCTCCTGGCTTCAGCCTGACCCAGCCTTGGCTGTTGTGGCCATTTGGGGAGTGAACTAGAGGACGGAAAATCTCTTTCCTTCCTTGTTTCTCTATAAGTCTGCCTTTCAAATGAATAAAATAAATCCTTAAAAAAAGAGAAATATTAGTTTCCTTCTCTTGAGATGTTTCCAGCCTCAAACTGCATTCTTAGGTTGTCATCAGGGGGTATATAATTTTGTCTCTTTTTTTCATATAATGTTTTCCTGCACAGATTTTTCCATATTTGATTTATCCTTTTTCATGGTGACATTCTATTGGGAAAATGCTCCATAAAAACTTAATCATCTCCCTTTTAAGAGAAATTTGAGATAACTTTCTTTCCTTTTAAAATTTTATTTTATTTTATTTATTTATTTTGACAGGCAGAGTGGACAGTGAGAGAGAGAGACAGAGAGAAAGGTCTTCCTTTGCCGTTGGTTCACCCTCCAATGGCCGGCGCGCTGTGGCCGGCGCACCGCGCTGATCCGATGGCAGGAGCCAGGTGCTTATCCTGGTCTCCCATGGGGTGCAGGGCCCAAGCACTTGGGTCATCCTCCACTGCACTCCCTGGCCACAGCAGAGAGCTGGCCTGGAAGAGGGGCAACTGGGACAGAATCCGGTGCCCCGACCGGGACTAGAACCCGGTGTGCTGGCGCCGCAAGGCAGAGGATTAGCCTAGTGAGCCGCGGTGCCGGCTCCTTTTAAAATTTTTTAAAAGATTTATTTATTTATTTGAAAGTCAGAGTTACACACACAGAGAAGGAGAGGCAGAGAGAGGGAGAGAGAGAGAGGTCTTCCACCCATTGGTTCACCCCCCAGTTGGCCACAATGGCTGGAGCTGCACCGATCCAAAGCCAGGAACCAGGAGCTTCTTTCAGGTCTCCCACACAGGTTCAGGGGCCCAAGGACTTGGGCCATACTGCTTTCCTAGGCCATACCAGAGAGTTGCATTGGAAGTGGAGCAGCCGGGATGTGAACCAGCGCCCATATGGGATTGCTGGCACTGCAGCCGGCGGCTTTACCCGCTAGCCACAGTGCTGGCCCCTCCTTTTAAATTTTTTGAAGTTTAGTAATTTTTTTTTGAAAAGGAGAGAGAACAAGAGAGACTGAGAAAGATTTATCACCCACTGATTCACTCCCCAAATGCCTTCAATAGCCAATGCTGGGCCAGACCAAAGCCAGGAGCCTGGAACTCAGTCCAGGTCCCCATGTGAATGGCAGAGACCCAAGAACTTGAGCATCATCTGCTGTCCCCCGAGGTGTGCATTAGCAGGGAGCTAAAATCAGAAGTGGATCCAGGACTTGAACCCAGGCACTCCGATATCGGGTACAGGTGCCTGCCCCAATTTTCATATGTTGAACACACATTGCTTTCTCCTTCTATGGAGTAGTTTCTGCAAGATAAAATTTTCCAGGGTGGCATTACAAGGTTATAGGATGGGCATATCTGATGACCCTTGTTCAGTGTGGCCACATCCCCTACAGAACACCTGATTCACCTGACCCTAGCAGTGCACATACAGGCTCATTCCCTTTTGTCATTGCTGAATTTTGATAGATGTCTTTTTTTTTCTTCCACTTTTTACTTGAATTGTGGCAGGTTAAAGGTGACAAGCCATTGAGGTTTTTTGTCTTACTCATTTTGCTAGATTTATAAGTATCTAGTGGTATCTCAGGGACGTTTTATTTTATTTTTTAATTATTAGTGAGGATAATTTTTTCTGATCTATTTGCTAGCTTACTGAAGAGACTTTCTTTAGATGTTAATCTGCCTGTGGGTGCTGACTTGTGAATTTGCACTGTTTCTTAGACATTTTAGATGGCATGGATCAATCATCTTCAACATATACCACCAAGTGTAATTCATTCATTTGAGTTTTATTCTGTGTTCTTCTTTGGAAGTATTCACTTTTAAATAGTCTGACCACATACTCTGCTTTAGTCATTAAGAATTTATAATGGGGAGGGGGTGGCAGGCATTTGACTTAGCAGTTAAGACACTGTTTAAGACATTCACATCCCATATTGGAGTTTCTAGGTTTGAGTCCCGACTTCCTTCCTGGTTTTAGTTTCCTGCTAATGTGGACCCTGGGAGGCAGCAGGGGATGGTTCATTGAGTTCCTGCCACTCATGTGGGAGATCTGGATGGAGTTCCCAGCTCCTGGCTTTGACCTGGTCTAAGTCCAGCCATTGCGGGCATTGGGGGAGTAAACCAGGAGATGGGTATATATATATTATACACACACACACACCTTTCTCTGAAATTGAAAGAACAAGAATTTGTCGTGGGAGCACAGGCCGCTGCCCTTTCTCTGGGCTGGCTGTGAGTGACAGTGCATTTCCTTAAAGGGGTGACTGAAATCCTCCGCTCACATCCCCCACCCCCGCACCGTGCACCCTCAAGGCCCCTCTCACGCCGCTCTGTTCTCTGTCCCAGGTCTGCCACGTGAACCTGGAGGGGCAGCCGTTCTACTCCAAGAAGGACAAGCCGCTGTGCAAGAAGCATGCTCACGCCATCAACGTGTAGGAGCCGAGGGTGTCCCATGCGGGCGAGGCTCGCAGCTGCTCCTGCTGCTGGCAACCGTGGATTCGGAGGCTGATGTTTCTTTTTGGGGGAAAGGGAAGGAGGAAGCGATTGAGCCCTTTTGAAGTATAATTTTAGTCCTCTCTTCTGTACACAGATCGTGTATTTGCATAGTTCAGACTAGAAGCCAAATGAACATTCTCCACCAAACTAGCAATTAATCCAAGACGGGGGTTGTACTTCAAACGTGTAGGACAGAATTCCAAGAACTCAAAAGTGAAAAACTAAAAGCGACTTTCCCAGAGCGATGCCACAGTTCCCTGCATCCCCTGCCTGGGGACCCAGCTCAGTGCGTGTGGGAGACTCCTAGCGTTCTGCGGAGTTTCTCTCTCTCTCTCTCTCTCTCTCTCTCTCTCTCTCTCTCTCTCGGAGGTCCTCTGGCAAACAGGACCCAGTGCCAAACCCTGGCTGCAGGGTATTTTTAGAGCCATAGCTGAGAGCTTGCTAGCTAAGCCCCATCGGGCTTTCCTCGCCAAAAAAGGAAGTGTTATTCCCCGACTGGCGTCATGGAACGACCTCTGCGCATTGGACCTCAGACCCCGCACGGACTGGAGAAGTTGGAAAGGGAGCCCAGGCATCCGCAGAGCTGTCCTCGGGGGTCCGCTGGGCAGCTGACCGGAGCTCTCACTCCCTGGGCGTGAGATACCCACGGTCCCCCGCTCCGTGAGGCTTTGCACCCATTTGAATTGTGCTGGGGAGGGTGAAATTGGCTTTCTCCAGTCTGGCTTTGCAGTGGGTGAGAGGACATTTGCCAAAGGCTCGGGGTTCTGTTTGGCCTTTGTTGTGCTTTGAGAGGTTCCTGAGCGGGAGTGTCCCCTGCATGCATTTCACACACCCCCAGTCTGACTGCTCCCCCGTAACATCCACCTCAGCACCCCACGCCCACTCCGCGACAGGCTGAGTGGCCCGTGGATAAGCAGAGCGAGACAGTGTCCCGGACAGGGATGATGCCAGAAGAGGCCAAACCGTGCCAGACCCTGGGTCGGGAAAGAGCTCCCTGACTTCCTGCCAACTTGAGCGAGAACAAAGGAGCGGGCAGAACCTGCAGGGCCGCGCCGGCCTCTGCACAGGTCTATGTGTGACCGTGGCAGCTGCTGGAAGGAAAGGAGGGACTGACAGCCCCCACGGTGACCATTTTGGCCTGTGTGTTGGAAGCGTGCGCGGTGATTTTGGTCTGTGTTGGAGCACACAGGGGGGCCGGCGTGAGCTCCTTGCCTGTAGGGGTGCCCATCTGAGGTGGGTAAGTGTCTCCCCGCGGCCCGAGCTGCCATCCTGGTTGGGAAGCGCTGTTAGCACCCCTGCAGCAGGCCGAGTACGTGGATACGTGGAGGTGTCTCATTGGAGCACAGCACTTGGCCGCGCTGCCCACTCACTGCTGCTCTCTCCTCGCTCCAGTTTTGGACTTTTTTTTTTTTTTTGTCTTTGCACGTTTGAAATGTTTTACCGGAATGCATTAGAACTCTGTGTTTCATTTCTGAGAACTGTGGCTTCCAGGAGACTGCCAGCCTACCTAGGTGGGCTGTGTCCCTAGTAAGACAGCTGCCTTTTTCTCTTTTTTTTGACAAATGTGAAGCCACCAGCCTCCCCCAGGAAGCCCCTGAAAGCTCTTGGTGGACATAAACAGTTCCCACCCCAGGGCCCTTCCTTACATTTGAGGAAGTGAAAGCTAAGCACGGGGCACTGCCTTGGGATTTGTCGGGAGAGGCACACAAACACCTTGAAGCAGCCTCTGATTTTTGGAAAGGTCAAAGACACGGGCATGAGGAGGTTGCAGACTGTGCAAGGGCTCTAGGTGGGTTTTCTCCAAAAATAATCTGTTAAATGCTCAGAGCCTACTCTTGAGTCAAGAAGAAAACCATCCCCTAGAGTTTCCAACATCTCTTTTTAAAGGTCATGCAACCCACACGCCCCAACACACACACACACACACACACACACCCCTCCACACCATCATTTAAAAAAAAAATACACGCTCCTTAAAAAGCAAGCCGAGCTATCTCACAGGGTAGCTTCACCCAAGTCCTTTCTCGCATCAGTGTTTCCAGTGTCTCAGAGCTGAAGTGGATTCCGCGGAACCCTTGTTTACTAAAGAAACAAACAAAGCATTTGAAAGGTAGCAGGAACAGGAAGTAGTTCTGAGTGTGGTTCGCTCGGTGTCTGAGTCTGTTGTGTCGTCGGGATGAAGGTGGTCTTCAAGTTGACATCACGGAAGTCCCGCAGCACCAAACGCCCGTTCTTAGTGGTCGGAGGTGGGGAGAGTGCTTGGGATCTGCAAGTCTCCTCACTGTTGACATGAATTTAGCATTTATAAACATTAACTTTTTGCAACTGAGTGACTTGTTGCTGCACTGTGTTAGGAATCTAGCTTTTATAATGTTAACTTTTCAACCCATGCACTCTTGTTTTGGAATTTTTTTTGGATTTTTTTTTTTGGCCAAGATTTCAGAAGTGGAATGTAGCACATTAGAGGTGTATGCTAAAAGATTTTTGCATGTTTTTTTTTTTCTTTTTGCTCGTGTGAATTCTTTTTAGCAAAATAAAACCCCAAAAAGGATGTGCAAGTGCGGAGTTTGCTGTGTCAAGTTTTTTCCACATGACATGGGAAGCAGCTTACTTCCACATGGCCACAGATAAAAGTTGGAGACAAAACAAAGCATCCCAGTAGAAGATGACTTTTCTGGTGCTCAACAGAGGTTGAATCTCCTTTATAAAACAAGGAGCCATGTGGGAATAGTGCAGGTGTTTGGCGTGCAAAGGGGATTTACCAGATGAATAATGAACTGAAGACCAGGCCTTGCCTCACAGGGGTGTACTTTAAAGTATAAGGAACATGGAATTGAAAGATAAATTTATTTGGGGGCAAAAAAAATGTCTTGGAAATCCATGCATCCTCTTATGTTTGGAAAGTTTTGTTTGGTGACCTACTTGGTGGGCAAATATTTCAGATTGATTTATTTTCATTGTGCTCTAAATGGCTTCATTTCTTTAAAAGCTGCTGCATTTCCTTCCATATCATTAGTTTTCAAGCAAGCTGAGAATGAAATCCTCTGGTGGCATTTTTTTTTTTTTAGTAAATAATGAAGATCCTTAGGAAAACCAATTCATTCTTTTTCAAGGCATTCTGTTTCTAGGCCTTACTTCCAAATAAAGAGCAAAATATCTTAATGTTTAATTTTTAGCACCTGACTCAGATTTTGAACGTGCGGTGAGATTACCAGTAGAAATAAAACCTTGTTGTGTTAGTGCTTCTTAAAGCTTACAGCAATTTTTTAAACAGCTCATGATGAAAAAACCCTCCTTGAGTTGGAGCATTTAAAGTTGGAAGGGGTCTAAACAGGTGTCTAGGTCTTTTCCAGATGTGGGAACAAGGCCTGGAAAGGGACAGTGGATTCCACCAAACACACAAACCTCTTGGGAGGCAGCAGGTGCCGGGAATCAACGTGGGCTTTGCCTTGATAAGGCCGGGCCTCAGTTGGAGGCTATTTAATACCACCTGAGTGGTGCTGGGAGCATCTCTCTAATCCTGTTTATCTACCTGAAAATGGAGGTAATAGCATGTGCCTATAGATCCCTCTCTTTTGAGAACCAAATGCAAGAAGTTCTGGAAGAAAATTTGCAGTACCAGTGCTGGTTATTATTGCCAAGCGTAGAGTGGAGTGGGAACACAAAGCTCTCGTTCCTACTTCATTTTCCCAACTCCTCCGCTGAAGAGTCGCTGGGAAAATCAGCAGAGATAATCAGTAATACAGGTGGCCCAGAAAGATGAACCAGAGGAATCAGAATTTGCACCAGAGTTTCTGCACTCTTCACTGAGGACCAGAGGGCAGCATGGAAGTGGCTCATTTATTCTTTCAACAAATGCTCACTGAGCACCTACTAGGTGCCATCCGGCGCTCTGGATACTGAGAATACGACGTGAGTATAATACATCAAACAAAACAAAAACCCCTCTGCTCTCGCGGCATTTAGGAGGGCTGGTATCCACAAATCAAGAGGGATAACTGACGTGTCAGATTGGTTCTAAGGAGAAATATTTTGACTATTTCATACTGCACTAGGGGCAGGCATTTGGCTTAGCAGTTAAGATGCTGGTTGAGGCATTCGTGTCCCACATTGGAGCGCCTGGGCTCGATGCCTGGCTCCAGCTCCTGACTCCAGGAGCGTACCCTGCGAGCCAACAGGTGATGGTTCAAGTACTTGGGTGCCCTGGTTTCCAACTTTAGCCTCAACCCAGTCTCAGCCATTGAAGATGGGCGTGAACAAATAGATGGGAGTGCTCTCTTGCTCGCTCGCCCTCTGGACTTGGACTCATTAATGATAATGGCATGCACAGAGAACGGGTTCTGAATGCAGTACACTCGGGGCCATAACTGCATAAGCTGTTCACCCTAAAGATCTGCAATGCACAAAAGCAAGCTGTGTGAGTCCTGGATCCCTCAACAAAGCTGTTTAATTTATGTGAGCACAGAATATGGAGCTCGAGTTTGGAAACACTGCCTGAAGTATCAGTTTAGGCTTTCCTGGGACAATCCCAATGTCCAATAATCTCTCCCCGGGTTCCACTCATATACACTGAAGCCATTCAGACAACCCGGGCAGCACCGATGCTCCTCAGTGTGCAATGGGGTCACACCCTGACAAACCCATCCTAAGTTGAAAATGTACGGAATGCACCTAAGCTACCAAGCTGGCCCTTGTGACTTCAGGAGAGAGGACTGCGTTGGGTGTGGCCGGCCCGGGGAAGATCCCAAATTCAAAATCCAAAGTATGGTCTCTACTGAACACACATCCCTCTTGCACCATCGTAAAGGGGCAAAAGGGAAAAGTCGTAAATCAAACCATCTGGCCAGCACCGCAGCTCACTAGGCTAATCCTCCGCCTTGCGGCGCCAATACACTGGGTTCTAGTCCCGGTCGGGGCACCAGATTCTGTCCCGGTTGCCCCTCTTCCAGGCCAGCTCTCTGCTGTGGCCAGGGAGTGCAGTGGAGGATGGCCCAAGTGCTTGGGCCCTGCACCCCATGGGAGACCAGGAGAAGCACCTGGCTCCTGGCTCCTGCCATCGGATCAGCGCAGTGCGCCTGCTGCAGCACGCCGGCCATGGCAGACATTGGAGGGTGAACCAACGGCAAAGGAAGACCTTTCTCTCTGTCTCTCTCTCATTGTCCACTCTGCCTGTCAAAAAATAAAAATAAATAAATAAATAAATAAATAAAATCAAACCGTCTACGTTGGGGGACCCTCTGCAGGGCTTTCCATGCCATCGGCATTCCCTGAGGGGCTCGGCTCTGCTGCAGTGTGGAAGATGACTACACGGACGAGGTCCCTGGATTTGGTAGAGCTTACACTTTACAGGGAAGAGTTGGGCAATGAACAAGTAATGCATAAGCAATAGAATTTGAGATAGCAAGGGCTATGGGAACATAAAACAGGACAATGTGCTGGCAAGGGATAAGCTACTTAAAAAAATTACTTATTTGAAAGAGCAACAGAGAGAGGGAAAGGGAGAACAAGATTTTCCATCCACGGGTTCACTCCCCAAATGACCTGAAGCCAGGAGCCAAGAACTCCCATCTTGGTCTTCCACATGAACGGCAGGGGGCCAGGTGCTTGGGCCATTTTCTGCTGCCTTCCCAGGCGCATGAGCAGGAAGCTGGATTGGAAGTGGAGTAGCTAGGACTCAAATTGACACTCCAATACGGGATGCCAGCATTGCAAGCCCTAGCTTAACCCATGGCACCACATCACCGATCCTGATGAGTTCCTTTCGATCTGGTGGTCAGAGAAGACTCTGTGAAGCAGCGACCTGTGAGCTGAGGCCTGAAAGAAAGGAGACTGACCACACCAAGGTTTGGGGTAGAGTGTTCCAGATGATAAAGGGAACTCTCTCGCCACAGCAAGGGCATGGGGCTTGAGAGCAGAGGCCGCGGCAGGGGCTCAGAGGGCTCGGGGCCAGGGTAAGAGATGCTGCAGACATCTGCAAACACCTGCTGTGAAGGGAGGAATCAGGGGCCGGTGCTGTGGTGCAGTGGGCTAAGCCCCTGCCTGCAGCCACTGCACGCCCTATGGGCACCTGCTGGAGTCCCAGCTGCTCCATTGCTGATCCAGCTTCCTGTTAATGGCCTGGGAAAGCAGTGGAGGATGGCCCAGGTGCATGGGCCCCTGCACCTGTGTGGGAGACCCGGAAGAAGCTCCTGGCTCCTGGCTTCGGCGTGGGCCAGTTCTGGCTGTTATGGCCATTAGAAAGTGAACCGTTTAGGGAGTGGATAGAAGACCTCTCTCTCTCTGTCTCTCTATCTCTCTGTCTCTCCTGCTCTCTCTGTAACTCTGCCTTTCAAACAAATAAATAACTCTTTAAAAGAAAAAAAGAGAGGAAATCAGTAGATGACTAAGTAAAACTTGATAATGTGACTTTTGATAGAAGCATGGATTTTAATTTTCCTGTCATACTTTTCACTTAAAAACAATGTAAGCTGCTCATAGCAGGTGGATGAATATGGCAAAAATTGAAGGTTGTATGCAGTTGGCTCAAGTGTTTTGCATGGATGTTTTCCACGATCCGGGAAGCACGCCCCCATGCTTGTCTGCATACTCACACAAATTGCAAATTGCACTTGTTATGTCCTGGGATTTGCTTTCTTTTGTAAACCATTTTGTAACTAGGAACTTCATCATTGGATCCCAGAGAAATCTCTGGAACATCATGTGACGGGTTCTCTGAGAATAATGGTCACGAGTTTGTCTGTTGCCTGAGCTGATGGAACACACTCTGCCGTTACTTTGTCAAGGCGATCAGCTACTTTGCTGATCTGTGGGACATCTACATCTCCAGTGTCATGCACAGCTCTGAACCTCAGGCTCACCTGTCAGGGTTTTGCCCGACTGCCCCACATAGAGGCCCCACTCCACGCCACTTGGTCACTTTTTTTAAAAGATTTATTTATTTATTTGAAAGTCAGAGTTACACACACAGAGAGAGAGAGAGAGAGAGAGAGAGAGAGAGAGGTCTTCCATCCACTGGTTCACTCCTCAGATGGCTGCAACTGCTGGAACTGTGCTGATCTGAAGCCAGGAGCCAGGAGCTTCTTCCGGGTCTCCCATGCAGGTGCAGGGGCCCAAGGACTTGGGCCATCTTCTACTGCTTTCTTAGGCCATAGCAGAGAGCTGGATGGGAAGTGGAGAAGCCAGGACTCGAACTGGCACCCATATGGGATACCGGCACCGCAGGCGGTGGCTTTACTCTCTATGCCACAGCGCCAGCCCCTCTCAGATTGTTTTAAAACCTGGAGCTTGGAGAGAGATGTTCTCTTCTCTCACTGAAGGCTGAGCTGGAGAAATGAGGCCGACAGACTGTCCATCCCATTTTGTGTGGAGAGCATCTGCAGCCAGGAGACGACAAAGCCAACCTCCTAGATCCAGCCATTCTCAAGGTCCTCTGCCTATCTTTTCCTATAACCTGGAATTTGTTTAAATTGGGTTTCTGTCACTTGCGATAAAAGGAATCTTAACTGGCATGGGGGGGCACCTTCAAAAAAATTCATGGCAAAAACTATGCTTGGATTTCAAA